TCGAATATAAGTCTGACCTCTCTGAGCAAAGTGCCTTGATGACGGTGAGGGGCTCTTGATCCAATTATTATTATAATAAAAAAGAAGTGCTAAACCACAAGGGCTATACAGCGCTGCAGGGCAGGAAGGAAGCGAGGGTATCAGGTGGCAAAAGGGAGAGGGATGATTAGTAGGTTACGGAGAACAGCGGGGCAGTGGATAGTGCAGGGGTAGAGGCAAGAGATTGAGGTAGAAAGGGCTGAGGGGAGTGCTAAAGGTATCCTCATCAGAGTTTGTGGAGTAAATCAGTCGTTGTCAAGAAGTCAATTATTATTATTATTATTATTATTATTATTATTATTATTATTATTATTATTATTATTATTATCAAAAGAAGTGCTAAGCCACAAGGGCTATACAGCAAAGAAGTCAATGAGGCAGTCAGGCTTAAAGGAGGGTCCATGAGCAAGAAGGGAAGGTAAAGAAAGAGTAGTAGAGCGGAGACGATGTTGGAGGTAAATTCTGCGTGCTCGTTGATAGAGAGGGCAGTCTAACAGAATGTGTTTAACCGATACTGGAACCTGACACTTTTCACAGAGAGGAACAGGGTGCCTCTCCATGAGATACCCAAGAGTAAGACGAGTGTGGCCAATGCGAAGATGGGAGAGAGTAGTCTCCCAACCTCGACAATGACAAGACGACGGCCAGTAACCTATACTTGGTTTAATAGAATGAAGTTTGTTACCGAGCAGATTAGACCAACATTGTTGCCAACGGGTGTGAAGGTGGGTAGCTATTACAGCAAAATAGTCTGTAAATGGAACACCTCTATATGAAACTGGTAGGTCCGCACAGCAGTGTCTGCCTGTTCATTTCCCTGTACGTCAACATGACCAGGGACCCAACATAAAACAATATCTTTATGCTTGGTAGAGATGCGGCGTAGCCAAACTTGGATATGGAGAACTAGGGGGTGAGTTGTATCAAATTTTTGTATAGCCTGTAAAGCACTAAGGGAGTCTGAGACAACCACAAATGATGACACAGGCATAGATGCAATACGGATAAGTGCTGCAAGAATGGCATACAATTCAGCTGTAAAAACTCTAGCCGAGGATAGTAAATGTCCTCGCACGACACTGTCTGGGAAGAATCCCAAAGGCCAAACAGAGAAAGGGAATAAGGGAGGGATGGGGGGGGGGGGTAGGAGGAGGAAAGGAAAAAAGGATGGGATAGGGAAGGGGGGGTTGGGGGGTAATTAGGTTCGGTCTGAAGGAGACCAACAGGTCTAATTCCTCAGACCAAGAGCCTCTTCACCACGCCAAGGAGCCCCCCTTGAAGAGGTCATTACTGTGAGAAAAACTTAATTATATTCCCTCCAATTTTGTACTGAATATGAACATTTAAAAAATATCTTCAATGGAAAGAACGTCAATCTTAAGGATAATATTTTAACTATTGGTTATGTAAAAAATCTTAATTTTGTGCCAAAAACACTAATTATTATAAGACAGGGTAGTAAGTACCTGGAGAGGTCAGGAGAGCAACATGTCAGGTCACAGTGGCACCAGTGCCACCCAGCACTTGAGGGTCTTATAGGAAACGTGATTTATAACTATGCGCTAAACCCACATGGGTCTTACAGCTCAGGAGGCGAGATTGCTTCATGAGGACAGGAAGCACTCACAGGACTTCCTGCGTCCAAGCCTGGTGAAGGCGTGATAACTGACTCGTAACTACATTAACTAAATCCTTACTGTTCAGGCTATGAAAAATATATAAAAAATAAATTCGTAAAGTTTTAGCAGTAGAATCTATTTCATTTGGAAAAAATCTAAAATCTTTATGGTATTTTTTTACGAATAAAAGGCATCATAGGGCTTGTATTAAGTTAAGCTGGGCTAGTCTCACGGGAGCCACAACAGCCGTTGGTACTGCGGTGAGTGTATTTCGTGATTATAGTTAATACCAGTAAGATTCTCTCCTGCTACATCAATAATCAAGTTACTGAACTCTTCGTGAATTAAATGAGTCGAAAATATTTTGTTTGTGCAACATACAGGTCTCTTTTAATTTGTATTTGATCTGAAATCCTGTGTTTAACCTGAGTGCTGAATTACCACGAGATAAGATTAACTTGGTACAGTAAGTATACTCCATATGCTGCTTAGTGAGATTATGCAGCGCAAGAGATCCTCATGCTTCTGTAGTTTACAGTTTTCAGGATGTAGTAGTTATACAAGCAGTGAGTATCAAAAGTGCAATATGAGGAGGCTAATATAAGAGGCTCAGTTGGAGATCGAAAAATACAACTCGAAGCTTTTCGTGTTTATTTTCTACGACCTTACTCAAACATTTAAATACATTTTCTGTAGTATGTCGACAGATTAATACAAATGTATTGATTACACAGGAAGATGAATGTGACGGCGAACTGCAGTGAAGCTTGCCCGAACTGTACTGAAACTGGTGAGATACCACCTTATTACCGTCTTACCTCCCCTAACCTCCTGCTGGCTGCTATTGTGCACTGCTACGTCGTCTTCGCCCTCGGGTCCCTCGGTATGTTCTGGACAATATATGTCGACGTCTTAATTAGCGAATTTTGTTATATGTTCCGTTTTATATATAAAAAAATATGGGTGCAGTTAGTTCTGCTTATATGAAGTGTTTCTTCCCGAACGCCAGTCAATAACTCATATCTCGTCCCTTGTGCTTCTACTACGAGGGGTATTGGTGAAGACATAGGAGACAGTGAAGTCATTTTCTTAATTAACGTCATTAAGTACACGAATACCTTTTGCCCAAAACTTGGAAAACTTTCTGTATCTATTGGAGTTTTAGCATGGGAAGTGTATTATTATTATAATCAAAAAGAAGCGCTAAGCCACAAGGGCTATACAGCATGGAAAGTGTAGATGTGGGAGAGGAAGGTTAAAGGAAATTAGCTGGTGAAGGCCTGTTAAAAATAATTGCCTTCTGTTATCTTGTTTTCATTGCTGTCATTATTCCACTGATAGTTGTCTCCTCTCACCTTAGTGAGAAGCAATTTTTTTTCAAACCTAAATCAATGCTCTCGAACGTGTATGACCCTCTTGCAGGTACAGTGTCTGCCACTCTGTTGCTGTGTCTGGTGAACATTGTCAACTCAAATACAAACCTCACATGAGTATCGCGTCTCACAAGTAGTGTTCTTGCACCCTCATGTTGCTGTGCTGTTGACGAGTGCCTCGTTGGTAAATCATACAAGGACTTCTATCACAATGGCATGACAGTAGGTCTAGTTTTAGCTTCTACAATATCGTTAATGGATTACGATGTTATAGCACTTGGCTCAAATGGAAGCTGCTAGCTTTCCCATGACAGTGTCTTCTTCAGGTAAGACAGTAGCAAGGGTTTCTTCATCACATTAGGTCTAAACATGGAACTTCAAATGAGAACATATTTGTTTCCTTGCCACATTTATAGCTTACATGAACAAAAATTCGTTTAAATTCGATTCATGTTTACGGCATGTGTCACCAGATGACGGCCAGTGTGGTCGGCCACAAGTCACATTCATAATGGTGCTTGGACGTAGTAGCCGTAGCTGTGTGGTTTCCATCGGATTTCTTCGCCGATTCCTCACACATGGTAAGTCTTATTATAATGAACGTGTTTTTAATACAGATATTTGTGACTTCCTTGTGCTTCAATTATAACACAATTATTCATAGATGTTATAAAAATCTTTCTCTCGTTTTCAGGGCGTGACGATGCCCAAACTGCTAGGCTACCAGATAGATCGCCAGGTGTGGAGGGGCATCAATGTGCTCTACTTCCTCCTTAGTACAATGGTGCCCGTCCTGGTCACCGTCACCTGCTACGCCCTGATAATCTTAGCTGTAAGTACACACTCGGATCATCCCCCAAGAAGAAGTTCCTTCACGACGGTGAAGGGCTCTTGATCTAAGAAGCTGGAGCTGTGCTTTCCTTCCTTGGATCAAACCTATTTGCTTCACATTTCCGTGGTGCTGTATGACCTCTTAAGGGTACAGCACTCCTAGAAATGATAATTTCCTCATATATATATATATATATATATATATATATATATATATATATATATATATATATATATATATATATATATATATATATATATATATATATATATATATGTCGTGCCGAATATGTAAAACTGGTCAATTAGCAAGAACTCTTTTAAAATTAAGTCCTTTCTAAAAAAAAATTCTTATACGTTTAAAGATATATTTTTTTCATTAATGATAATGTAAAAATTTTTAATTTTGCACCAAAAGAATCTTAGAAAACTTACCTAACCTTATTATAACAAGAACAATTTATTTTAGCCTAGCCCAACTATATATATTTTAGATTTGTTTACAGTAATTTAATACTAAACAAACACAGTGAAATATATTTTTTTCGTTAGGTTCAGAATGATTTTGGCGAAATTATTGCATACACAAATTTTCGCTTGTCCTATATGGCAAGATGAGCGTTGCTATTTAAGCCAAGATCGCAAGTTCTGCCTATTCGGCACGACTATATATATATATATATATATATATATATAATATATATATATATATATATATATATATATATATATATATTATATATATATATATATATATATATATATATATATATATATATATATATATAAAAGAAAGAGATGATTGTGGATGTTATGAATGAGAAGAAGCTGGATGTCCTGGCTTTAAGTGAAACAAAGCTGAAGGGGGTGGGAGAGTTTCAGTGGAGAGGAATAAATGGGATTAGGTCAGGGGTTTCAAACAGAGTTAGAGCTAAAGAAGGAGTAGCAATAATGTTGAAGGATAAGTTATGGCAGGAAAAGAGGGACTATAAATGTATTAATTCAAGGATTATGTGAAGTAAAATAAAGGTTGGATGTGAAAAGTGGGTTATAGTAAGCGTATATGCACGTGGAGAAGAGAGAAGTGTAGAGGAGAGAGAGAGATTTTGGGATATGTTGAGTGAATGCGTTTGGAGTTTTGAACCAAGTGTGACAGTACTTGTGGTTGAGGATTTCAATGCTAAAGTGGGTAAAAATGTTGTGGAGGGAGTAGTAGGTAAATTTGGGGTGCCAGGGGTAAATGAAAATGGGGAGCCTTTAATTGAGCTATGTGTTTAAAGAGGTTTGGTAATAAGTAATACATATTTTATGAAAAAGTGGATAAATAAATATACAATGTATGATATAGCACGTAATGAAAGTAGTTTGTTAGATTATGTATTGGTGGATAAAAGGTTGATGGGTAGGCTCCAGGATGTACACGTTTATAGAGGGTCAACTGATGTATCGGATCATTATTTAGTTGTAGCTACAGTTAGAGTAAGAGGTAGATGGGACAGGAGGAAAATGGCAACAACAAGTAAGAGGGAGGTGAAAGTGTATAAACTAAGGGAGGAGGAAGTTCAGGTGAGATATAAGCAACTATTGGTTGAAAGGTGGGCTAGTGCAAAGATGAATAGTGTGGGGGTTGAAGAGGGTTGGATTAGTTTTAAAAATGCAGTATTAGAATGTGGGGCAGAAGTTTGTGGTTATAGGAGGGTGGGGGCAGGAGGAAAGAGGAGTGATTGGTGGAATGATGAAGTAAAGGTTGTGATAAAAGAGAAAAAGGTAGCTTATGAGAGGTTTTTACAAAGCAGAAGTGTCATAAGAAGATTAGATTTTTTATTAGATTTTGCCACCGAAGTGGCTAGTTTATTGTGCACTCCATATCCATCCTGTGGACGGTAGCGCAAGAGCATATGGATACACAAAAGGCCTAGGAACTAGGCCCCAGAAGGGTTAACAGGTGTACATAAGGGTTTTTATTTATCTACATATCTACAGTTCACTTATCTGTTACATGCAAATTTATTAAATTTGCTTAGTATATCTGGTATCTTATTTTCATTAATAAGATATGACATTTATAAGAAGAGTAGAGTATATGGAGAGTAAAAGATGAAGAGAGTGGTGAGAGAGTGCAAAAGGAGAGCAGATTGTAGAGTGGGAGAGGCACTGTCAAGGAATTTTAATGAAAATAAGAAAAATTTTTGGAGTTAAACAAGTTAAGAAAGCCTAGGGAACGAATGGATTTGTCAGTTAAAAACAGTAGGGGTGTTTGTAGATGGGGAGATGGAGGTATTGGGTAGGTGGCGAGAATATTTTGAGGAACTTTTAAATGTCGATGAAGAAAGGGAGGCGGTAATTTCATGCACTGGCCAGGGAGTCATGGCTCACTAATAGGAAGCAGAGAGTATGCTTAAATGGGGTTAAATCCTAGTAAGGATCTGTAACAAGTGGCGTACCACAGGGATCAGTCTTAGGCCCGTTGTTGTTTATGATATATATCAATGACCTTGATGAGGGTATTACTAGTGATATGAGCAAATTCGCTGATGACACGAAGATAGGTAGGCTAATTGATTCAAACGCAGATGTTAGGGAACTTCAGGAGGATTTAGACAAACTCTGTTCTTGGTCAGAAAAGTGGCAGATGCAGTTCAATGTAGATAAATGCAAGGTTCTGAAGTTTGGGAGTGTCCATAACCCTAGCACTTATAAGTTAAATAATGTAGAACTTAGCCATACAGATTGCGAAAAGGATTTGGGGGTTATGGTGAGCAGCAACCTTAAACCAAGACAGCAATGCCTAAGCGTACGTAATAAGGCAAATAGATTATTGGGATTTATATCAAGAAGTGTAAGCAACAGAAGTCCAGAGGTCATACTGCAGCTTTATACATCATTAGTAAGGCCTCACTTAGATTATGCAGCTCAGTTCTGGTCTCCATATTACAGAATGGACATAAATTCACTAGAAAACATTCAGCGTAGAATGACTAAATTAATACATAGCATTAGAAATCTTCCTTATGAAGAAAGATTGAAGACTCTTAAATTACATTCACTTGTTAGACGAAGAATGAGGGGAGACATGATCAAAGTGTATAAGTGAAAGATAGGTAATAATAAAGGGGATATTAATAAGGTCTTGAGGATATCTCTCCAAGAGAGAACCCGCAGTAATGGATTTAAATTAGACAAGTTTAGATTTAGAAAAGATATAGGAAAGTATTGGTTTGGAAATAGGGTAGTTGATGAGTGGAACAGTCTACCTAGTTGGGTTACTGAGTCTAGGACTTTGGGTAGTTTCAAATTTAGGTTGTATCAATATGAGAGAGAGGGGTTGGATTTGAGCGAGACTTGCAAATGAGTGGATAGAGTTATCAGAGCTTATTTCTTGGGTAGCATTGAAAATTGGGTTGGGCAAATGTTTTGTTAGTGGGATGGATTGTAAAGGACCTGCCTAGTATGGGCCAACAGGCCTGCTGCAGTGATCCTCCTTTCTTATGTTCTTATACAATTTTTTAGGAGTGAAAAAGATGAAGAAGAGCAGGATGTGAGTGTAGGGGAGGTACGTGAGACATTATGTAGAATGAAAGGGGGTAAAGCAGCTGGAACTGACGGGATCATGACAGAAATGTTAAAAGCAGGGGGGGGGGGGGGTATAGTGTTGGAGTGGTTGGTATTTTTGTTTAAT